AAAGAGAGACATCAGTTGTTCAGACTTTATTTATAAAAGAAACGTCACAGGAGCCGGATGCTGCTAAAGTTTCTGTGGTGGAGCAAGGAAAACTGGAAACAGGAAGAATACAAAAAGGGATGTTGAGCCCATTTAAGAGAAAAAGGAGGAAGCAAACAAGGGGGGAAAAGTAAAGAAAGGAATAAAGAAACATGAAGTTCTCAACCAACTAAATACTTGGGACTATGGAGAGAATAACCTGGAAATTAAAACGCAGGAGTATAAAAATAGACGTCATGCAGAAGAGAACAGAAATAATCAAGAGAAAAAAGAACTGGAATACAGTATTGTGGCAAGGTCTATGTTTGGAAAATTAAAAAATTATTATTTGCCTTGCTTTCTGAGTCTTGCCCGGAGTCTGGAAACCCTATATGATAGCTGAATTAATGTGATATGATATCTGTGTTGTGTGGGATGGGGTAAGAATAAAAGTGGGTACTTCTAAGTGAGTGTAGATAAACTTACAATAAAGTAACTGGATATGAAATCTATGAAGTGGTAGCAATTTAGTCAAATTGTTAAGGATTAATAGGTCTAGGATTTATTATGTTACTATATAAATAAATTTTGGAATGGTACTTGTCCTAGAGAATTTAAAAAGAGTCTCATGACCAGAGTAATTATGAGATTGAAGAGATGAATAGTCCAGTCGATGATATGTTTATAGAATTATTGTAGTAAAAATTATGTTGAAAAATAGCCCTGAATAGCTTAACTGACTGTGGGCCTCAAAATCTTGAGATAGAGAAAATGAGTAATGGTAGGAAGGTAGATGGGGTATTTGAGAACTATGAAGATTAGAAACATTGATGATGATATTGAGGGAAATAAGGCTGGTTAGTATATGAATAGAAATATACTTTACAAAAGTAGGAATATCTCTAGGATTATGATATAGTGAACATATTTGTTTTTGTTTTGTTTTTTGTATTTACTTTTGGGATGATATTTTACATGACTGCAAAGCTAAGTTAAAATGGATTTTATTGTTAGTAAGAGTGGTATTACTATCAATATGATGACCAAGGGGATCAGTAAGTTTACTATTTATAAGCTTTCTGTATAGAGGAATGTTGGAATGGTATTTGCCTTAGGAAATTTTTAAAGAAGCCCATGATTAGAGTAACAGATGTTTAAATTAAGAGATGAATAATACAGCTGATGGTGTGATACAATAAACAGATTAAATTTACTAAAAGTGATTGATACATAGATTTGAATAGTTTAGCTGATTGTGTGTTGCAAAAAGTAGAATGAATTTACTAAAATGTATTGTGATATGTAGAAAACTGAGTAATGGTAGGAAAGTAAAGAAGGTAGTTGAGAATTATGAAGACCAGAAAAAATCGATGAAGACTATGAGGGATGTAAGGTGAAGCTATTGTTGGTTAGTAAAAGAATAGAGATATTGTAAACTCTGACTATATATAACCAAATTGTAAGCAATGTGAAGTATTGAAAATGAAAGATTATGGTGATTTATGTATGTGTGTCTATTAAGTATGAAAATTTAATAAATATAATTTATTTGAAAAAAGGAAGTGGTGGCGGCTACAAGCATGGACGGCTTCAAAAGGGAATTAGATAAGCATATGGAGCAGAGGTCCATCAGTGGCTATTAGCCACAAGGTATAGATAGGGGCTCTGGAGCAAGGGACGCACTGTTTTCTTGGTGCTTGGGGGGGGTCAAAAGTGGGAGGGCTTCTAATGTCCTGGCCCCACTGGTGGACCTCCTGATGTCACCTGGTATTTTTGGCCAATTTTGAGGCACTCCCTTCTGCTGTACTGCAAGGTAAATTTACTCGAGTTCCAATGCATGAACGTATATGCCCATGCATGGCTAATATGGTGGAATCAATTACTCATGTCCTCCTGTTCTGCAGATTCTATCAGGAGGAATGAGACCATCTTATACTACCCCTTCTGTCTAGATTTAGCCCTCTGCAGTCTTATCTTGACTTTAGGCCAGAAGTCCTTCATAAATTCCTCTTAGAAGATGTTCAGAGCTCAGTGACTTGCGCTGTGGCAAAATTTTGTTTCTTAGCTATTAGGAAACGTAAACTTATTTTAGCTGAAAAACTTGTATGATTCTCTAATTAATATTATTTTATTTTACTAATTTTATTAATTTTCCCTTTTTAATGCTTTTATACTATTCCCATGTTATTAATGTTTTAATCCTTCTTATATCAGAATTGTACTGTTTTATTGATTAAATTCATCAATGCCTTGCTTGACAGTGTTACCTCAATAGGTGGTCTCCTTTTTATTTGGGGGAATTAGAACATAAGAACATAAGAGATGCCAATGTTGGATCAGGCCAAAGGCCCATCCAGTCCAACACTCTGTATGACACAGTTGCCAGAAATACCAGTGCCATCAGGAAGTCCACCAGTGGGGCCAGGACATTAGAATCCCTCCCACTGTTGACCCCCCCAAGCACCAAGATGACAGAGCATCACTTGCCCCAGAGTCCCTATCTATACCTTGTGGCTAATAGCCACTGGTGGACCTTTGCTCCATATGCTTATCTAATTCCCTTTTGAAGCCATCCATGACTGGCTTTTGAGCAAGGGAACCTTTACCTTTACCTTTATGCTTGTATTCGCTTAAAGGAGAAGGAGCGAGAGGGTAACTCAGGATCTTGACCAATGTTTACAGGGTTTTTTCCCTTAGAGAACTCTCAAAATTAAACCAGTCTGATGTGCAACTGGAAAGGGGTTTATTGAAAAAGAAATAAAAAAGCAAAACATACACAAAACAAAAGAAACCAAGGTAGCTCCATGAACAGCTTTCTAAAGACTTGGAAAATAAGAACTCGTTGAGGAAATGGAAGGAGGGTGTAACGATTCCTTGTTTATGTGTGTGTGTCTCTTTAAAAGTTTGGTTGCATGGCTGTATGATAGTCTAGAGTGGTTGAAACAGGCAAGTGAGTGTGATTGGTGATTGGCAGAAAGGGGGAGGGGTTTTAGAAAATGTGTGTCAGTCAAGAGTTACAGTTTAGACAGTTGAAGAAGACAGTTAGAGAGTTAATTAAGTTCTGTGTATGAGAGGAGTGAGACACATCCCTGTGTGGGATAAGTTAAGTTCTTAGTTCTGTGAGAGAAACAGAAGTTCAGTTAAGCTCTGTGTATGAAAGAAGTGAGAAGCTGTTCTGTGTGAAAACAGTTAAGCTGTCTGTTGATGTTGTTCAGAGAAGAAGAAAAGTTTAGGAAAGGCTGTATGTCCTGGAGAGAAACAGTGAATTTACATGACCTTGAGTTAAAGTTACAAAGTTACATGCCAAAATCCCTGACAGGAAGGGAGCAGAGCTTGCGTGAGACACCAAAGAATTTATCAGAATATTCACATTACCAGTTACTTTGTTCTACACTGTTATTTATGAGTTATATCAATAAATCTACTTTTATTTAAGATACCAGTTCTGAAAGAAATACTTCCTCAGGCACCACATAGACCCTCATGAAAGCCTAAAACCTTGACCTACCTACCCAGTGATAGAAATATTATAGGATAAAGGTTTGGAAAGCCTTAAATTTCCTGGTGGCAGCCGGATATACACAGTAGAACAAAACATAAAGAACACTTTTAAAGTAAAACCAGACCTCCCCAGTAAAGGGGTCATCACAGAGGGGCTTATAACCAAGGATGAATATAAACAAATAGCCAGTGCTTGTAGAGGGAGAATTAGGGAAGCTAATGGTGTGCTGCCATCCCTATGTGCAGGGCTCTAGTCGGGGGGGAGCTCTCAGGTACGGAGCTCCGGAAGAGAACCTCTAGGGGGCGGGGCGGTCACGTGGTGAAGCCCCGCCCCCTTCTTTACCCCGCCCTCTGCTTCGATCCTCATTCCGTTTGGGAATGAGGATGAAGCAGGAGGGTAAGTAGCCGGGCCTTCTGACACACTTCCGGTGATGTCAGGGGGTGTGGCCTTCTGTCACTTCCGGTGATGTCAGGGGGCGTGGCATATGCAAATAAGTTATGCTAATGAGTTATGCTAATGAGCTCCGGCAGCTCTTTTTCTACAACAAGACCCCTGCCTATGTGAGTCTGGTGTTCATCAAAGTAGTCCTTAGTGACATGAATTGCTGCCGATGTGTTGGGATTGGCAGCATTCTGGCACATGTTCAGTTTTGAGAAAGCCCAATTGCTGAACTGAACAAACCTGATGATTGGATGTCATCTGCTCACTACAGCTGAATAAGGTGCGTTCAATTGTCAAGTATTGTTAATTAAAAAAGCCTAAAAATGTGGGTGGTCAAGATTACTGGAATAAAGCGAAATATATTCTTGGTACTACTCCTGAATTTTTTAATGCTGGATGATGGGGATGAATGAGGGCTTTTTTCTTTTCTTTTCAGAAGCATATACAGGGGGTGCCAATATCAAAGACACGTCACTGAACTGGAAAAAGACAGATTCTGCATAGGCATTGCAGTTCTATTATTTTGAAAGAAGGGATAAATATTCAACATATTAACAAATGGAATGTATTTATTTATTTGATTTATATCCCACCCTCCCTGCCGAACCAGGCTCAGGGCGGCTTGATTAACATGTGGAATTCACTGCCACAGAGAGTGGTGGTGGCTACAAGCATGGAACTGGATAAACACGTGGAGCAGAGGTCCATCAGTGGCTATTAGCTACAAGGTATAGATAGGAACTCTCGGTCTGGGGCAAGGGATGCTCGGTATTCTTGGTGCTTGGGAGGGGCAACAGTGGGAGTGCTTCTAGTGTCCTGGCCCCACTGATGGCTCCTGATATTTTTGGCCACTGTGTGACAGAGTGTTGGACGGGATGGGCCATTGGCTTGATCCAACATGGGCTTCTCTCATGCTCTTATGTTTACAAATATGCATATATAATCAATCAGTTTGTTGTTTTCTAGTCTGACAATCTAAACATTTTTTAAATGCAATTTCTTTGAGGACTGATTTCACATTGGTTCTTCATGGCTTTAGGTATTGCACTGTCAAACGGTCACACCTGGAAGCAACAGAGGAAGTTCGGGCTAGTCACCATGCGGAAGCTGGGACTGGGGAAGAAAGGCATGGAGCACCAAATCGAAGAGGAGGCCCATCAGCTTGTCGAGACTTTTGCACGTGCGAAGGGTATGTGATATCAGGAAATTAGGGCTAGCCCATGGTTGCTGTAGTCTACCTTTTTTTCATTACTCACTGGAAGTTTGGATTAATTTTACTTACACACTGGACCACAAATAACCAGTAGATTAGAAGTTACCATATTAGGACAGATCAAAGGAAGTACTTCTTCACACAAAGAGTGATTAACACATGGAGTTCACTGCTACAGGAGGTGGTGGCAACTAGAAGCGTGGATGGCTTCGAGAGGGAATTGGATAAACATCTGGAGCAGAGGTCCATCAGTGGCTATTAGCCACAAGGTATAGATAGGAACTCTCGATCTGGGGCAAGGGATGCTCTGTGTTCCTGGTGCTTGGGGGGGGCAACATTGGGAGGGCTTCTAGTGTCCTGGTCCCACTGCTGGACCTCCTGATGGCCCCTGGTATTTTTGGCCACTGTGTGACAGAGTGTTGGACTGGATGGGCCATTGGCCTGATCCAACACTGGCTTCTCTTATGTTCTTAACTGCAAGCTGGAATATATTGGAAATAAGTTCTTCTGAGCATAATGGGGTGGTGAATGCAGGGAGAGCCACTGGCTGCTCTCCCTCTGTAGCAGAAGTCCTGGCTCTCTTACCTGGCCCCTTCTGTTGCCAGACGCGCTTTTCTGCATGAAAAACACCAAGCTATTAAATGTGCAATTTAGTATTTAATTGTAATTTTTAAAATGCTTTTCCTTAGCCCCTTTAAGGAGACATTTGACCACAAAAAAAGCAGCATATAAATTCTATAAATTAATAAATGAATGGTTCAGAGCATGACTATACCTAATTCAACATAGCGATTTGTCCGATCTGATCTAATTTGTTACAGCAAGAGCCAGTAAAACAGTACAATTCTGATATAAGAAAGATTAAAACAGTAATGTTATTGAGGCAATGAACATAAAATTAAGCAAAATCCGGAGCACAATAGAGGACAGGAGGGCTTGGCGTGATGTGGTCCATGGGGTCGTGAAGAGTCAGTCTCAACTGTGCAACTGAACAACAACAACAACAAAACAGTAATAACACAGCAATAGTATAAAAACATTAAGAGAAAATTAATAAAATGAGTAAAATAAAATAATAAGAATAAGAGAATCATACTTTTTTACAGCTAGAATAAGTTTATGTTTCCTAATAGCAAAGAAATAAAATTTTGCCACCGCGAAGTCACTGAACTCTGAATGTCTTTTAGGAGGAATTCACATAGAACATCTGGCCTAACATCAAGATAAGACTGCAGAGGGTTAAATCTAGACAGAAGGGGTAGTATAAGATGGTCTCATTCCTCCTGATAGAATCTGCAGAACAGGAGGACATGAGTAACTGTAATGAATTTTTAACTAGAGTGTTATAGCAAATAGTCTGGTTAGAAAGATGGGGAATGGACCCCAGGTGTATTTTGAAGCAAAGTCATCTCAATGTATGTATTTTAATCTACTTGAAAGACTATTTCTGTATGTTGTACAAAAGTCAACCATTGTACATCAGATACTGAGCCCGCATAGCGGGGAGGGCGGGGTATAAATCGAATAAACTAAAATAAATAAATAAATAAATAAATACCCAATAACTCTCCACCCACACACAGACATACATGCGTACAGAAAGCAGAAGCCCTCAGGCACTCTCTCAAGCTCTTCTCATGAATAAAAACACAGATAACCTCTCATTAACGAGTGCATAGCACAATTCTTCAGGAAGTGAGAGAATTCATCACAAAGATTAAGCAGTGAAGGGCACTCTTTACTTAAGGACATAAGAAAAGCCCTGCTGGTGTTGGAAAATTTGGTAAAAATAGTTAGATATTCAGAGTTTGCAATGAATCATTGTTCACTGGAGAGGAGGCATTTTCTTTCTATGTAAAAATTTTTATTTCTAAAGGGAAGGGTACAAGAGAAATCTACAAAACAACAAACACAAGACTACATCCTTACTGTGTCAAGTACAACAACAGACTGACCACACAGTTGGTAACGAAGATTTTTCTTTCTTCTTGACCCTAGAAGGAAATCACCTGAATACATTAACCAATGATTGTGAGTAAATACACTCCAGTTTCCTGAGCTTTCTCCCCATTGGCTTTCTGCCAGGCTCCCTTCCAGGTCAATCTAAACAATAGTACACAAGTTAACCTTTTAACCCTATAATGACTGAATTTAGACCTTGCAACACACATATTTCCAACATCTGGATCAAACCAGTGGTCCATCTAGTCCAGCATCCTGTCTCACATAGTAGCCAACCAGTTCCTCTGGAGGGCCAACAACCAGGACAATAGAGGCCGAGGTCTTCCCCTGATGTTGCCTCCTGGCACTGGGATTTAGAGGTTTATTTCAGTCACCATGGCTAATAGCCACCTATCCTGCATGAATCCGTCCAATCACCTTTTTAAAGCTATCTGTGCTATATCTTAAGGACCACTGTCTAAACTGTAGTCAGACAGAGTCTAACATTAATCAGTGGTGATGTGATGGTGATTGCATGGTCTCTTTTTGAAAATTGCCTTGAGGGGCAGAAAGAAAAGGTAATTGCATGCCACACTCACAAACACCAGTATGATTAGCTTTTGCAAGGAGTAGTACCCAGAGCAAGCCACCAATGTTGGGAGGCCAGGTCATGGCCTGGCACCCTGGGAGGTTTTTTGGGGGGCAGGCACACTGGCATGATGCCAATACACAGCATGACTTCCGGTGAAAACCAGAAGTGGTGTCCTTTTTTGGGGGAAGGAATGCTCTGGGATTCACCAAAACTCTATGGTTAATGATGAAGTTTTTGACAAACTCCTGAGTGATGCCTTCATCATAATATCACTCTGGTGCCATGCTAGCCCCATTTGTCCCAGATTTCCTTCCACCAGCCTTTAATTGCCTGGCATCCTCCACACCAGCTGTCAAACTCGGGTATCTGGCATCAGGACGGGTTGGCTGGCTGTGACAGTTATATTGTCCATACCTGATTTATTCTGCTTGCATTCTGTATCCTTATCACTGCCCTCACCTGCCATTGCATTCCTAAGGGGGGGGGGAGTGTGTGTAGTGAATTAAGGAGGCTTGTTTGATAATTTTCCTAAGGGGCCCCAAGGCATCATTCCCACAAGAATTGTCCTTGAAGAAAGTCTGTGCCTGGCTAGTTAGTGGCTGTATATCTTTCAGAGTCACTTAGAGCAGAGAACTCTGTTCAAATGTCTTTCCGTTCTAGCTGCTGTTTCTCACAAAACTTTCCCCAGACTTATCTCGCCAGTAAAAACTTGGAGCCTGTAGGAGTGAGATTAGAGTTCAAATGTTCAGGAGCAGCCAGCCTGGATAATGTAAACAGCAAAAACTAACGAAGATAAATTACGAAGTGGGAGTAAGAGACAAAAAATAAGAAAGTAACTTGCGGAGCGTTGTTAATCAGTGCTGCAGCCTCAGCGCCATCTTGGACCCTTTGACCAGCTTTCATGAGTCCCACTGTAGTAATGCTGACGTTGATGTGCATGGAATTTTGGGGCTTTACCAATAGTTTGCTTGTCCCGCCTTTGCAAATCAGTCCTAACAAAGAGCTTGAACCCACAGCTTCTCATATCTCTAAATAAAGCATTCGCTGGTAAAGTGTGTGTGGAGAGTGATTTGAATGGGAACCTGACACCAGCTAGCCTTTTCATAACAACAATATCAGTTCTTGATAAAAAATTTCCCATCTCGGGAGTTAGAAGTAACCATTAACTATATTACACGGCTTCCAAACCATCACTTCTCCGGTCATTGTATTGACTCATCAAGCAGGCAGAGAGCTTATGCCGTAGAAAAATAGGTCGTTACACTAAATGGGCAATTTTCTCAGTGGAGGGTGGTAAGCAGTGGGGTACCACAGGGATCAGTACTTGGTCCAATGCTTTTTAACTTGTTCATTAATGATTTGGAGTTGGGAGTAAGCAGGGAAGTGGCTAAATTTGCAGATGATACAAAGTTGTTCAGCATGGTGAAAACCAGGGAGGATTGTGAGGCACTCCAAAGGGATCTGTCAAGGATGGGCGAGTGGGCGTCAACATGGTAAATGGGGTTCAATGTGGCCAAGTCCAAGGTGATGCACATTGGAGCCAAAAATCCTAAATATAAATACACATTGATGGGGTCTGAACTGGCAGAGACTGAACAAGAGAGAGATCTTGGAGTTGTAGTAGATAACTTACAGAAAATGTCAAGACAGTGTATGACTGCAATAAAAAAGGCCAATGCTATGCTGGGGATTATTAGGAAGGTTATTGAAAACAGATCAGCCAATATCATAATGCCCCTATATAAATCAATGGTGCAACCTCATTTGGAATACAGTGTGCAATTCTGGTCACCACACCTTAAAAAGGATATTATAGCTTTGGAAAAAGTGCAGAAAAGGGCAACTCGAATGATAAAAGGGTTGGAACACTTTCCCTATGAGGAAAGGTTAAAGCGCTCAGGGCTCTTTAGCTTGGAGCAACGATGACTGAGGGGTGACATGATTGAGGTTTATAAGATTATGCATGGGATAGAGCAGGTAGAGAAAGAGGTACTTTTCTCCCTTTCTCACAATACAATAACTCGTGGGCACTCAATGAAATTGCTGAGCGGTCGGGTTAGAACGGATAAAAGGAAGTACTTCTTCACCCAAAGAGTGATTAACACTTGGAATTCAGTGCCACAGGAAGTGGTGGTGCCTACAAGCATGGACGGCTTCAAAAGGGAATTAGATAAGCATATGGAGCAGAGGTCCATCAGTGGCTACTAGCCACAAGGTATAGATAGGGACTCTGGGGCAAGTGATGCTCTGTCTTCTTGGTGCTTGGGGGGGGGGGTCAACAGTGGGAGGGCATCTAATGTCCTGCCCCCACTGGTGGACCTCCTGATGGCACCTGGTATTTTTGGCCACTGTATGACAGAGTGTTGGACTGGATGGGCCTTTGGCCTGATCCAACATTGGTGTCTCTTATGATCTTATGTACACCTATGCTGTAGAAAAATAG